AAAAAAATCAGTGTCCACAAATACTCTTACTGGAACATAGCCACACCCATTCATTTGCATATTTTTTCTATGGCTACTTTCCTACTGCAAATGCAGAAATACAGTGATTGAATAACCTGCAAATCTTAAAATGTTTACTCTCTGGCTTTTTAAAGGAAAATCTGTTAACCCCTACTCCAGACTATCTATCCCAAAGACCTCCCAGTGCAGACAGCTAAAAGGTTCCTTTAATATTTCAACACTGAAATCTTCCTCTCCTGCTCTGAGCCTCTTTCCCTATAGACTTTCCCTGAATAAATGACCACATTGTCCTTCCAGTTCTTCAGGGCCAAGTCCTAGAGTTGGCTTGACTCTTCCCTTTCCTGAAGGGCCTCATCCCTCAACAAACTATCACTTCAACTTCAGAAATAATGATTCTGCTTTTCACCTCTGACTTATTAATATCGCATTAATAGATTTCCTAATGTTGGCCCCTCCTCAGATTCCTGTGACACCCTATTTGACATACTATTCCTTCAAGATACTACTAGTGTTCACTTGTTAATGCCTTATTTAGGATATTTGTGTTATGTGGGTGTGTGGATGTGTATAAGTGAGGTTGTTGGGATATAGTTTTCTTTTTTGGTGTTTTGTCAAATCTTTGTAAAAGCATTTTGCTAATTCCATAAACACCCTGAAAAATGTTATCTTGTTTTCTACAACAGAAAGTTGTTTTTATGGCATTTAGATGACCTATGTCCTGGGAGTTCATTCAAAGAACTCACCTGTAAAACCATCAGGGCCATGAATCTTGTAATTAGCATGTCTGATTTTTCTAACCTAAATGGAAGCCAGTTTAGGTCTTCCCTACCTATTGTCTGTCTCTTCTAACCACAATCACCAGGGACCAAGCCATCACTCACGGAGCTGGTCTAGCTTCTGGCTGTGTGGTGTGGCTGAAGACGGGGAGGAAGGGAGAGAGTCAAAGGTCACGTCGCTCATGTTCTCATCTCCAGAGTTTTCTGAAAGGCGAAGGAGCAGAGGGGGCCGGCTGCCAGAGAGGGTCCTTACTCGGGGACTTCCACACTTTTCCTCTGTCCCCCTCAAGATGGTCTTGGCTGATTGCTGGGGACATTAACAGGGATACTCATGTCATGCAGGCACCCTTTGCGGAATGAAGGGCTCTTCCTGTTGTTCCCCCTAACTCTAAACCCTTGCAGCCACAGCTAATAGAAAATTTACAAAAGGTCAGTAGAGATTAACCCTAAGACCTCCAAGACGGGCATCTGGAACAGGAGCTCAAAGCACTTGCCATCCCCTAAAGTGCTGACCACACTTTACAGCTCTAAACTAGAGAATGTATCCTACTCTGTGTTTAGAATCCCAAGCTTATCTTTGCCACCATTCTTTTGTATCTGATCTATGTGTCAAGATGACAAGAAGGGAGCCTCATCTTGGACACACTGAGGTGCCCAGAGAGCCAGAACTAAGTCCAGTCACCTGTCAATACACCCCCCCACAAACCTACACACACACACACCACGCACATACCTTCTCACTGTCTCTACATGACTTCCCCTCACTCTGGTCAAAAATGGACCTAACTCAAACAGATGCCAGCCAGTACTATAGGGACACTCAGGAGGGCTTTGTGTACTGAGTTGGGGGAGACGGGTTAGAGTATAGATGGGACAGATCATTCCTGCCTTGGTCTTCTTTAATTAAGCATTGCCAGGCCTGGCTGTCTCCACGTAAGGAGGCAGGGTTTGCAGTCTAGGTCACAGAGGGGCCTGCCAGCCAAGCAGGTTCATGCTGAGCACCCACCAGCAGCTTGGTGTTCTGATTCACTGTGTCTCTCTCCCGTGGCGAGAGGTCGAAGGGAGCGAGCCCCATGCTTGTGCAAATCCGGTTACAGGCATGAGAGTGGAAGAAGAGTGCCATCCCCCGGACACCTGTGGACAGAGTGGGGGTGTCTGGAGTGCTCTGCTTTGTGGCAGGGGAGAGGTAGCGCCAGCCCCATAAATGTGGCTGGAGCAAGTATAAAATGTGCTGAGCTTAGAGAAATCAGACATCCCAGCCTCCCATCTCAATGACCTTAGGGAAGACACCATCTTAGCCTGTTTCCTTGGGTGGACAAAGAGCTGGGAGATTTCAGTGAGTAGCTTGGTATCCGTGGAAACAGGCTAGCTTTCCTCACCTACCTAGGTTGCCATCTCCAAAATCAGTGCCTGTCTCCGTGTGGATCTGTGGGTCAGTGTAAAGGTCGCCCACTCCCTGGATGTCCACTACTATCAGCTGATGACCAGAACGCTCAAATGTGAAGTGGCTGAAGGCCTGTGGAGGACAGGAATAAAAAAGTGGTTGCAAGAGACCAGGCTGTGGGCTCGGCGCCTATAGCTCAACCGGCTAAGGCGCCAGCCACGTACACCTAAGGTGGCGGGTTCGAAT